CTGTTTTCAATACCAACTTTCAAGTACATCATAGATACATGGTCAATACAGTTACAAAACAGCATTCAATTTATTTCATGCACCCCAGAAACCCTAATTAAACAAAAGCAAACTAGGTGCATGTCTAAAAACCAATCTCTTGGAACTGGTTTGGTAAGAGGGCATTTTCAAGGACCTTTTCAATCCAAAATGACTACAAACTTTGTAAACATTAATCATGCTCCCAACTTTTATGAGCAGTAAAAGGGAATTAAATTTGAGCACAGTGAGAGGAACAAAAACCTGTAAATGACATTAGGGACAAACGAACATTAAGGACAAAATGTAACAACTTTGACGAGTACCACCACCAGAAAAAAAAAAAAAAAAACCCACCCTAACTAACAAAGCCTCTAGCTATGAAGATGACTATTAAGTTCACCAGAATGATCTCACCTAGATGGGACAGGATAATGCAGTAGAGTGTTAAAATTTTCAGTCTGACTTTATACTACAGTAGTCAAAGAAAATTTCCTAGGGAAACAGAGAACAAATTTACTAGCCTAGAAAGAAGGGCAAATTCTTTTCTTTATTAATCTGAGACTACACTGGTTAATACAATATACATGATGTGGGTACAGAGAAAAGGCAAACAGAGGAGTCAGAGCTTGAAGGAGCTGCTGACTTCCATTTTAAGAGGGGGAAATAATGGTTGTTTTCTTATAACATCACTACCAGACTAAGTTTTGTGGAAGGCTATTTTTTTGGGGGGGCAGGGTGCCAGGGATTGAACCCAGGGGCTCTTAACCACAAAGCCACATCCCCAGCCCTTTTTATATTTTATTAGAGATAGGGTCTTGCTGAATTTCTTAAGGCCTCGCTAAGTTGCTGAGGCTGGGTTTGAACTTGAGATACTTCTGCCTCAGCCTCCAGAGATGCTGGGATTACTGGCATTTGCCACCGCACCTAGCTTTGTGGAAGGATTTTTTTAAAAGGGTCTTGATAAGTAAAGATGGAAGCAGGGCATTCCAGGAGGGTACACAATGTAAACAAGGGAAGGAAAGAACACAGCCCCTAAGGCACGAATAATTCACTTTTCCATAAGGGAGTTTTAGGTAAAATGAGGCCAGACTGAAGAAACTGAAGATAGCCTAAAAGCCTGCTTATGATGGTATTCTTTATCCATTAGCAATGGGGAGTGAGCCTTGTTGCTTCCTGTTAGTTTTCTAAGATTCTCTCCTATTTGTAGGCAAAGTGGTCACTTATTTATTTATTTACTCCCTAGGAATCATGTCATTTCCTGACCACTGAGAACAAAATGTTTTCGGTTTCTACTCTGTAATTAGATAATTTTGTAAAGGTCTATGTTAAGATGGACTTAAAATTCCCCAATTTTAAGAGTGAGTCCCCAAGTACCAACCACACTATGGGTCCATAGAAATTACTCCTAGAATAAAGAAATTAGTGGCTGCAAGCCGGGAACCCTGACATTGCAATCTGTGCAATCTGTTTAGCGCCACCCTGTCTAAATTCCTGGCAGTGTACAGATACTATAAAATCTCAGGAACAGTGGTTGCACCATCATACCCTAACCAGCCACTATCAAAAGAGAAAAGCAGTGGACAGACCCCATTATTACTTCAGCTTAGAAAAGAACCAACCATCTCCATTCTCATTTGATTGAAGACAGCAGCCTAAATATTCACCATGGTGCTTCCTAATCCATCTTCCAAATACTTGAGGGAAATGCTATGGTTAATTTAGTAGAGTACCAAGGCCTCCTTTTGCTCCGCTGACATCAGAAACTGTAAACCCAAATTCTCCCTGTCGATTTCCTATACTCCCACGAAGCACCAGAAACGGAGGGAAAGCACTTATCTATTTTACTTTCGTAAACACCAAGGGCGTGAAGACCCCAATTCAGCCTACATCAATCCTAGATTTCTGAGCGAATGAAATTTCGTTTCCCCAAAGTAGTTTGGATTTTGCTCACACTTCAGCTTTTAGGGTTACCTTACAACTGTCCACCAATCTCCGCCCCCCCCACCACATCAAGATGAGAGTACTGTCAGGTCTGACTCGCCGAAGACTAGAGGTCTGGGAGCCTGACGCTCCCGCGGTCACCCAGGGCGGGTGGGTGCTCCCGGCTGAGAGTGGAGGTTCTGCAACCCAGGCCCGCACCCCCACTCGCAGGCTCAGCTTTGGTCGTCCGGTAGCGACTAGGGCCGGAACCGGGCGTCCCAACCCCCCGTGGGGTTGAGGGCACAGCACTCACCAGGGATGCCGGGCGCCGGGGGACAGCTGGGCACCAACAGCCCACCCGCACCGGGGCTGCGGATTTGGAGGCCGCCTCGCAGGCGGCGCGCAGTGGGAGGGGCCGGAAATGTTTACCAGCCCGACCGCCGGGAAGCCGGGAGGCCCGCGCCCGCTCCAGCGCGGGAGCCGGGGACCCTGGGGACCTCGAGGCCGGCTACTTCGCGGCTGTCCCCTCCTCAGGCCTGGGCTGGGGCTGCCGGAGTCCGCGCGCAGGCCGAGTCCCCGCCCACCGGCCAGCCCCGAGGAAACTTACGGCCGGGTGGGCAGGCTCTGCTGGGGGCCGCGGTCCCCCAGCTACATCCCGCGGCACTGGACGCGGCCTGCGGCCGAGCAGCCCGGGATTTTCAGCGCCCTCCCAGCGCCGGAAGGGGCGCGCGACCACACGGCGTCACCTCCGCAGCCGCGTCACCCCCTCGAGGCTCTACCTCACCCCCTCCAATCCCAGGCATTCCTCCCGGAGTCCCAATCGCGGGCCGGCTCCCTAGGCCCCGCCCCACGGGCCCGCCTTCCCGGAGGGGCCCACCTCCCGACTCTGCTCCAATCGCTCACGCCGACCGCCCCCAGCTTGGCGCTCGCGCTGTCCAATTGCAGACCCTACCTCGCCGGGCTCCAACGGCGGCGCGTGATGGAGAAGGAATTCCAGAGAATTAGACCGTACCCTGGGAAGGAATGCATAATTTCCCATCAAACGCCTTGTCTAGGACGAGAAATAATTTACATCTTTCCTATTATCAACGCCTATCGTTTCATCTCCGGAACAGTTTTTAATACCTTCTCGAGTCTCGTGGTTTCCTCCCACTTCCTTGTGCCAGGCGCTGAGCTAGACTTTTGTTTTGGCTCCTGTTATTTCTCATCAGAAACGGCGGGATTTTTTTTTTTTTTAAACCAGTCTAGCTTGAGAATTCCCAACCATAGATCCTGCTCCCACGTGCACCCAAAGGGCATATCTGGGAGGCAATGTAGGGTAGGGCAACCCTGACACCCATGAACCACACACACAGAAGTGATCTATGGGGTACACCATTTTTCTTGTTCTCCCAAGGATGGTGTGCACTAATTCCATCCCAGATGCAGAGAAAGAAGCTCATTATGTTGCGTGGACACATCAGGGCAGTGGGATCAGTGATGTTGGTGCTGGCTACAAGTGAGCTGAGGAGTCACACAGATCTAGTTTCCTTTTCCTAGCTAGACTATGATCGTAAGCATATTACTGAAGCCCTCTAAATGATAATTACCCCAGCTGAAAATGGGGAAAATAGTGTTATTTCATTAGACCTTTGTCAGGATTAAATGAGATCATTTTTGCAGGCTTTTAGTATTATGGCTGGCAAATAGTCAATGCTTCATAAATGAGCTGTTACTGTGTTGTCCACTGAGAAAACCCTTAGAAGCTTCCTGCTATCCTTCAGCTTTGAGTTAGTTTCTTCAGCATGGTCCTTTACAAGCTAATTCTAACCTATTATCAGGATTCATCTTCTTCCATTTCTCTCTGGCATTTTGGGCCTCAATGAACTTCTAGGTTCTTCAAATGCAAACTTCTCTTTCATGTAGCTTTTGCATATTCTAAACCTTCTGCTGAATTGCCTACCCCACATTGCCCAGTTGTCTGATGAAAGATCCAAGCCCAGTTCTAGTTGGCCCCAAATAATCCTAAATTCAGATTCAGGTTCCATCAGCGGCTGGCCAGTTGTATTTCCTTTGGCAAATCCTTAATCTTCAACTCACAGGATTAGCATAAATTCTTAGCACAGTACCCAGTACATGGGATGTTATCAAAGATGATAATTCCCTTTTTTCTCTTCCCCCTTCTCTGAATCTTTCTCAACTCCTTCCTGTCTATACCTTGTATGTATCTCTGTGATAACTTTTTTGTTTGTTGGTTGTTTGGAATATTGGGGATAGAACCCAGTGCTTTACCACTGAGCTACACCCTGAGCCCAGACTTCAGGGCTGGGTCTCAAATTTTAAATCCTCCTGCCTCAATCTCCAGAATCACTGGGATTACAGGAGTGTGCCACCACACCCAACTCTGCAATAGTATCAATCACACTGTATTGTAATGATTGTCACTTGTCTACCTTGGATTGTGAGTTCTTTGAGGAGGGTCTAACACCAGTTTTGGTCTTGTATCCTCAGGGCCCAGCACAGTGTTTACCATATGAAAGGTCCTTAATAAATATGTGTATGTTGAACGAAGGAGGCTCACTCAGTCTTGTGTGAAACAAGGATTGGTGAGTTTCCGTTGTAGAAAATTCTCTTAGCAGCCCAGTAATCCTAAGCAGGATTTTTCTTTCTGTCTAGGCATGATGCCTATCATCTCAGGGGCTTGGGAGGCTCAGGCTGGAGGATCCTAAGGTTAAGGCCAAGGTGGGCAACTTAGTGAGACCCTGTCTCAGAAATAAAAGGGACTGGGGATGTACAGTGGTAAAGTGTCCCTGCATTGAATTTCCAATTCCAAAAATATATTTTTTCCCTTTTTGTATTTGAGGTGGCTTACCAAACACAATGTCATATACATACTAGCACATCAAGAAATTTTTGATGAAATACTACCAACAGAGTTGACTGAAGAATCTGAGGGTCCCACCAGCCATTCTCAGTGGCTCCATAGACAGAAACTCACAGATCCATGAAGAAAAACAATGTCAGCCTCCCTCCTAAACGCAAGCATTGTTTTCTCCCAATGACACTAACACAAATCTGAAGAGGCTTCCCCAGTTTTATCTTGGGAGAAGGGAGTGGATTGGGGTATGCTCTCATAGCAGGGAAGGATGCTTGGGACAGATAGTACTGGGGGAGGCCAACTTTGTTCAGATACCAAGTCTGTTTGGGGCTGGTGATGTCAGGTTACTTTTTAAAGACAGCTTCCCTTCCAAATGGAAAGGCAATCCTTTGATTTGTGTGCCAAATAACCTGAAGAATAAATATGGTGAGAGAAAGGCTAAGCGAAGGAAGAGGGGAAGAATGGCCAAATCAAAGGACCATTGGGAGGGGTACCTGTGCTCCCAAAACGTCTCTCTAGCATGTGTTCTCCTTCCCCCACCTCAGAAGCCTCCAGGGAAGAGTTGAGCTCTGGCTCTGCAGAAACAGCTGCTGAGATGACCACGGAGTCTGGTGGCAGCTCACATTTCAGCACACAGTACAACTGCTCAAAGGCTCTTTGGAAAACCCAGGAGATTTTGTGCTGGGAAGACTTTTCTCCCAAGATCTGTAGGCATTTTGAAACAAGGACCCGAAACACAACAACCCCTCATATATCACACTGGGGCCTCAAGCCTATTTATTTTAAGAGCCAGAGGTTCCTGTGTAAGTAGCAATCTTAGATTATAGATAGCCATTTCTCTCTAGCCTGGGCAGAGGCCGAGAGAGACAAACACAAAAACATATTTCACAGTCCTTCTTAGTCTGAAGTTTTTAGGAAACCATTTCTTCCTTTCCCTGTCTCTAGAAGACTGCCTTTGTAAATCAACTTGCAATCACATAAGCAAAATTTGCCCATGGTTTAAGTACTGAAGACTAAGCAAAACCCTCTGCATAGTCTGTTCCTTTCATCACAGACACAAAGAAGGTGAGAATGTGATGCTATCAAGGAACCAGCCCAGTCTTGGAACAAATGTACATGCCTCCTTGTTTTCAACCCTAAGAACGAGACTGCTCCAGGGGCCTCACCTAGGGAGATCTGAGGGCCTTGATGGGAATATCTCAGCCTTGGCCCTTTTCTATGGCTACAGGAATGTTGTTCCTGCAGGTATCATCTACATTGTAGTTCCAGTGCAAGATACCAAGGGCTGACATTCTCTGGAAAAAAAATCTAGGGCTTGTAGTGTTTGAGTACTGACTGGGTATAGTTGCAGACATGGGACCAGGGCAGCTGGGAAGGTGCTCAGTAGGTGAATCAGTAGGTGAATCGCATCTTTTGTGAATAGCCCAATTTGTCCAAGTTGGGATGGCAGGCCAGCTGTATCATTGGGGGTGGCCCACAGAGCAGCAGCAGTACATCATCCCCTGGGGCAGGCAGGTGCTCCTGGATCATGTCAGCAGTCACAAAGCCCTTGCTGTAGGCCCAATCTGAAGCACAGAGGAAAAGAGAGAACTGACCCATGCTGGCATAGGAATGTGGTACCATGAGAACAGATCATAGGAGAGGGCCCTGAAGGGCTCCTAAGAAGGTCTCAGGTTGTAACAGCAGTTACAGCCATCCCTATCGCCCACTGGTAAACAGAAACCCAAAGGAAAGAGATCAGGAGACCACTGTGTCTCTGTACTCATACTTGGGACTTTGGCAGTGTCAGGGAAGGTTGGTTTCAGTAAACCTAAAACTTACAGAGGGGCAATGCCTGGATTTTGATAATGAGGGGATATCATTATCCACAGAAATGGGGAGGATACCTTTGGGGGGATGGTCCAGAGTGAACCAGAGTTTAAAGCGATTGGGGTACCGGGCCTGCAGCTCCTCTAAGTCTTCCCGCAGGATTATGTCCTTTTCTGTCTGAAATGCAAAGGGAAAGCAGAGTCTTGGAAACCTTCTCAGGCCTACATCATACAAGATCTCTGACTAGGGGTTGTGGCGCATGCCTGTAATTCCAGCTACCTGGGAACCTGAGGCAGAAGAATCTTGAGTTTGAGACTAATCTGGGCAACATACTGAGACCCTATCCCAAAAAAGAATAGAACAGAAAAAGAAAAAAGTTCACTGCTATTACAACTGTCCAACCAAGAGAGAAAAAGGCTGCTAAAGCCATGCTAAAGTTCTAGGGAATAAGCAACACTTGCAGCAGTTTTAAGGAGTTGGGATGAGGGGAACACCTTTATTTAGATATCATGAAGGAATAAAGGTGAAGTATTTAACCAAGAAGACCCAAGGGTCTTTGCTTAGCACTAGATGCCTTAAATTTTTTCTTCTTTCCTTGAGGATCAGGGTACAAATCTGAGTCAATGCTCAGTCCTATTTCCTCCTTATTGTAGTAGAGGGTCCTGTACCTGGCAGAAGGTGCCTTGGCTCAGAGACTAGAACAGGCACTAGGCCAGTTCTGCCCATTGGGTCCACTGCTCATGTCCATACCCACATAGCAACTCTGAAGTCTCAATATTGAGAAAAGCAAACTAACCTGGTTGGCAAAAAGCAGAAAGCACTGGGTTGGATCTTCAGGTACTTTCAGGATAGCCCGGATCAGCTGTAGCATTGGGGTGATACCTACATGAGATACACCATGGTGAGATGTGGTGGTCACATTCCGTTCTGTCCCGGGTCCTTAGCTGATTCACCCTTTCATCTTAATTCTACTCATTCACATTCCACTCCATTTTTCTTTAGTACCCTAATCCTCTAATCTCCTCCTTCATATCCCTGGCCATATCTGGACATCCTCAATATTTACATAAATTCATTAGATGGAAATCTTTGGAAGGAACCAACTTAAGACTCTTCCTCTAAAAGTTCCCTTGGAGGATAGGGACACAAAAGTCATAGATGACTACATGTTCCTCCTGATTCAGTGATGACAGTTCTGGAACACTGAATACATAGAGGTTAAGTATTTTGGAGTCAAGCAAAGCCAGATACTAATCCTACCTCTTGCCATTAAAAGTTGAATCTCATTTTTTCATCTATAAAAGGGAAATGCTAGTAGTATCTACTTCAGAGATACATATGTGTCTAATACATAGTAGTGAACTAGACCACAAAAATGGACTAGTTCTATCTATCAGACTACACCATGTTGAATATATAGTAGTATCCAATCTATCTATCAGATTACACCATGTTGACTATATAGTAGTATCCAATCCTAATTTTCTTTCTTGACTATTCTGAGCTATTTCTTTCTACTTTCACCTAAAAATTATTAGATTCATTCAACTTGAGGAGAGCCCACCTGATTTATTGTTTTCATTTTATCAGTTAACTTTTTTTTTGTTGTTGTTTTTATTGTTTATGGTTTTGTTTTTGACTTACTGGGGAGGTTTGACATTGCTAGGGACCCCTGATTACCAGCTTGGCTGTGATCATCCAATCTCCTGAGGCCATTTAGGAGTCTGAATGGCAACAGCCAACAAGGTGAGAGAGAATGGCCCCTCAAGTGACACGAACCTGTCCCTCCAGCAATCATTCCCAGTTTCTTCGCCTTTCGGGGTTCTGGTGGCGATTTCTTATTGGGCTGAATGTTAAAATTCCCTGAGAAGTCAAGTGAAGAGAGGAGAAGAACAAAGTCAAAATAGAAAACTAAGTAAACAAATGCCAAATTGAAAATATGCCTAACGGCCAGTTGAGCAGCTGCTATGAAATCTGATCCTGGAACTTGGGTGGGGGTTGTGTTGAGTAAGCCCTGACAATAATACACTTGAAGGACAATGGGGCCACAGCTATCTGTCTACCACTCAGTTCAGGATCACACAGTGAATATCAGCAACTTTTGGCAGAGGGTCGATCCTTGGTGACGGTGACAGGCACAGGGCCAAGTGTGAATATAGTTTTCCTAGAGACACAGAATACCTCCAGGGCCTTGCTAATGCACCCAGCTATTCCCATGGGGAGGGCTAAAAGCTGTATCCTTTGGCTCTCTCCAGAGCTCAGCCTGAAGCGTGAATCTTGGAGGGAGGGGAAGAGAGGCATGTTTGCTTTGGTAATCCCCCCAGCTGTCTGTCATGGCTGCTGAATTCAGTTGGATGGAGACCTACTTCTTGTGGCAAATGGGGCCAAGAAATAGGCCTTTCTGTGCATCAGAGTTGAGATTGGAAGGAAGGGCAGCTTTGACCTTATACATGTACACACACTCGGGCATGCACAGTCATACTGTGCTAAGACTATGGAGCTAGAGCAGGGGATGGCAGGCTGGAGGAGAAGACAGGTCATTACCTTTCCCAGTGTAAGTGAGCAGTCCACTTGGCCCCCGGAATTCCACCACATCCCCAATCTTCAGACTGTCCAGGTACTGAGACATCTTCCCGCCCTCAGGAAATTTTGGGTGCACACCCTTCAGATAGACCTGATAAGACCAAGAGAAAAATACCGGATTTAGAATGTCATTGAAACAGGCTGGAACAGGCTCATACACATGCTAGCTTTTCCAAGTCCACATACTTTCCTCATATCCACAAAGGACATGCCTTCTCCTGACATCAAACAAATCAGAGAAGTTTCTACAAATTCCAGAAAGAGTGGGGTAAGGCGCCTCTGGGGTTCCTTCCTACACCCTTACCTTGATGACAAGATCCACGTAGCCTTGGTCCTCATCACTGGTGACAGGAGTGTACGGCCTGATGACCAGGCTGCCATCAATTCGGGCAGACAGGTAGACATGTTTGCCTGGAGACCATGTGGAGAGCTGTGTAAGAGCTTCTAGTGGATGTGCCATAACCCTGTTACTTTTTACCCAGAGAGGTTTGAGAGAACAGGCTGTCTTGCTTCCTGCTGAAGTCCCAAGGAGCTGGAGGATTCAGCCCACACAGCCCTCAGCTGGACCTGTCTCCAGCCTCCCTGTTGGGGAAACTCTTAACAATTACTACCAGGACCTTGGCAGGGGCAGGTAAGCTGAGGGTCTGGGTAACAGGAAAAGTTAGTGTTTGCTCAGAGGGAGTTATAAGCAAGTCCTCTGGGAAATAGGGAGAGCTGTTGAGTGGTAAAGATGGGTGGGGACACAGAAGCCACAACCTAAAGGTACCTAGTGGCACCTCACACAGCCTGAAGGATCCAGAGCTAAGTGAAGGAAGGGCAATGTCGTGTGGAGGAAAAAGATAGAAGCAACACGTCTCACCAGACCCCAGGAGAATCTCCCTCCTAGGATCCCAGGGAAAGCCCACTGCACACTTTCCTTACCCACAGGCAGCCCCAGAATGTGGTGGGCGGTGGGCAGGGCAAAGCGGAACCTCTTGGTGTTGTGGCTCACGGTCTGGAGGATGGATGACACAAGTATTTCACTAAGTGGGACTGGTTGCCACTCCCTTGGGCATCCCAACCACCAAGAAAGCTATCTATCCCTTTTATACTAGTAGAACTCAGGTCCCCTTTCTACCCTGGACCCTTCCTCCACAGCTTACCGTCTTGTCCAGCAGTCGCAGCAGGTACTTCTCATCGGGGTCCAGGAGAGTAACCTGGGGCCGGCGGGACCTTCGAACCAAGTAGGTGCCCACAGCCAGGCCGAGCAGAGTAAGCAGCCCCACCCCCAGCGAGGCCAGCAGGGCTGAGCTCTGTGGGTAGAGGAGGTAGAGTGACCGCCGGCTGGGGAAGAGCCCAGGGCGTGGGTGGTGACGGGAATGTATGACCAATCGCCCCAGGGGTGATGATCCCGCACTCCAACTCGAAAGCATGCCAAGGCCAGAGGGTAGGGTCCCCAAGATGGGAGGGTAATACGGGGACCCCAGCATCCAGGGCGGGTCTGGAGCCCTGTAGGGCGGGGTCGGCCGTAGGAGTCCCTGGTCCTGAGCTGAGTGCCCAAAACTAGATGGGGCGGGGTTCCCAGGTGCAGGATACCGAGCGAGGGTCTCACCGTCTGGATCCCCATGGCCAACCGCAGCGTCCTCCACCACCCTGCAGGCAGACAGGTCCCACAATGCGCCGCGGGGCGGGCCCGGGGGAGGAGCTTGGCAGGAGGCGTGGTTCACGGGAGGCGGGGCCTGTAGGGGGCGGGGTTGGCCTGCTCTTTGGCCCGCCCCGCTTTCCCTCCCTGGGCGACGCCGAGCATCTCTAGGCTTGTCCAAGATCTCTCAAGACTGCAGCTCCAGCGGCTCCATTCCAGCCTTCTGGTCTCTGCTGTTTGGATCCACTTATGCCAGAACAGAATGGCAGTTCTGTTTTAACACAGAACCACTCTAAGTTGGACAATTGGAACTCTTTGAATCTAAGAATCGTTCATGGAAAATGTAGCATTTGAGTCAGAGGAAGGAAAATTAATCATCATGTAGCTACCTTCGTTTTTTCCAGCAGGTTAAATTGAAGCAAGATAATTGGAAGGACTGTTCAGGAAGGAACAGCGGCATGGCAACTTCATTTCCTGGTCTCTCTGAGCAAAAGACTGGTTTTGTTCCCAGTGCCAAGTCATCCAGTATTACTCAAAAGCTTCCTTTGGGTCTTAATCTGTGTTCTCTCTTCTCAAAGACCTGGGCTTTGGAGTCAGACTGTACCGAACAAGAATTGCACCTCTAGCACATATTGACTCTGTGACCTAAAACAACTTGATCAACTCTGAGTTTCTCCATCTTGGATGGAAATATATTATCACCTATTAGGTAGTATTTAGTTTATAGAGTTGTTGTGAGACTTTGATTCGAAATGTTAACATGCTTAGTGTAGTGCCTGTCATAGGGTAAATCATTCAACAGATGGAAGCTACTGGAGGCTCATTTAGGGTTTTGGGACTGAGTTCTGTTGGCAGCAGAAGCTTGGAACAGGAGTAGTAAGAAATAGACACTGGGAGTCGTTGGAACTACAGATTTGCCAAGATTAACATCCTTTCTCACATGCAAGTTTCTCAACTAGAATGAATGACATTTGCTCTTTGAAGTACAGTGATGGGTGAGATTTCCATAAATATCATTGTCAATAGCCTAAATTAATGCCATCAAGGTGGTAGGGACATTTGAATCCTGTTTTCAGTTGTAGTTGGGGTACTCTGTTGAATGATCCTAAAGATGCTTTGTTTTCTTTATGAGCTAGCTGAAAATGTCACTCAGATCCGGATACATCTCCATCTTTTTTTTTTTTCTCTTTTGGTGATGGTACTGGAGGTTTAACCTAGGACTATCTACCAGTAAGCTGCATCCACAGCTCGCTCTCTCTCTCTCTCTCTTTCTCTCTCTCTCTCTCTCTCTCTCTCTCTCTCTCTCTCTCTCTCTATATATATATATATATATACACATATACACACACACACACACACACACATACATACATACACTGGGGATTGAACCCAGAGGCGCTTAACCATTGAGCCACACCCGCAGCCGTATTTTGTATTTTATTTAGAGATAGGGTCTCACTGAATTGCTTAGTGCCTCGCTGTTGCTGAGGCTGATTTTAAACGCACCATCCTCCTGTCTCAGACTCCAGAGCTGCTGGGATTACAGCATGCCCCACCATGCCCTGCCCTTTTATATATTTTTTGAGAGACAAAGTCTTGCTGAGTTGCTTAGGGCCTCACTAAGTTGCTGAGGCTGGCTTTGAACTTGTGATCCTCCTGCCTCAGCCTGCCCCCCCGCCCCAGCAACTGGGCACAGCTCTCTTTTATTTTTATTTTGAGACAGATTCTCACCAAGTTGCCAAGTTGTCCTCAAATTTGCGATCCTTCTGCCTCAACCTCTCCAGTCTCTGGGATTATAGGCACACACCATCATGCCTGGCTCCCTCTGAATTTTTGAAGCGGTCTGTACAGGAAGTTAGTGTGTGCCACACTGTGTGGGAAAGAAGGGTTGAAGAGGGAAAGGGAGGGATCTTTCCCTTTTCTATTTGGAGAGACTGAAGGAATTATGTTCTGGGACTTCTGACACCCCCACTGCTGGAGTAGCTAAGAAGCCAACTACTGATCCTTGCCATTGTCCAGTTCTGGCTGGAGGGATTCCAGTCCTCTTCCCTTCACTGGATAAAGGATGTGGCAGGGGAGGGAGAGGTAGAAAATGAAAGGTGGGCATAACTACCATTCAAAGGGTCACATTTTAAGTTGTATGAGTATGTTGCTGGGAATCAGGATGTATAAGAAAAGGCTCTTACCCTGGAAACTTTAGCTATAGGGTCTTAGCAACCCTGAGTGAGATCCTTAGTCCTGAAAATGGGTGCTGAAGAAGTGCTGGAGAGGGTTGCTGCCCTGAGTCACAGAATGGACCAGATAATCTCACATGTCTTTCCAGTCTCAGATTCTGTGGTTCTATGATGTCAGCCCAGGAGATAAATTCCACTTCATCATAACTCATAATAATCTTTCATATACTCCTTGTTTGGAAGAACAAAGGGATTTGGGGTAAAAATGGGAGTTCATAACCCACTTGAATCAAATGTATGAAATATGATATGTCAAGAGCTTTGTAATGTTTTGAACAACCCATAAAAAAAAGAAAAAAAAGACTCAATCAACAACAACAAAAAAATAAATAAATAAATAAAAATCCAATCTTTTAAGTTTAGGTTTTCTTCCTGGGTAAGTAATAGAATGAAGAATAGAATATATAATGTACTGTGCAGGGGAAGTTAAAATTCTAAGATGTGCTTCATAATTCTCAAGGAGGGCATAAAATAAAGTGATCCTTTTGAAATACCATAGGATATCCAGGAAGAATCTTAAAGAAAGACCTGCTCATATAGGGGATATGGTATGGAAGAATCAGACCAGAAGATGCAATAAGTTGACATTTATTCAGCATGTGCAAGAGCTAGGTAAATTGCTTTTTACATATTCTGACAATCATTTAATCCTGAAACAACCTGTGAAAGAGATATTATCATGACTATCCTCATATTATGGATGGAGAGATTGAAGTGTAGGATTATTAGTAGCTTGCTCAAAGTCAGCTAAGTGTCAAAGTCAAGTGGCATACCAGGCAGCCTGATATGGAAGGCTAACAACCCAACTGTCCCCTTTTAAATGTTCCTAGTAAGGAAGCTTAAGCATACACAAAGGTAGACCAAAGATGAAACCTCATTACCCATCGCCCACCTTCAAAAACTATTAATTCATGGTCAGGCTTGTTTCATTTGTGCCCCACCCATTTCCCTTCTCCAGTGTTACTTTTAACCAAATATCATACTTCCTACAATTTTGTCCTAAATGCTTAAACGCGTTTAGATATAAGGACTTAAGATATCTTTAAGATATAAGGACTTAAAGGTAAACATAATGCCATTATTACCCATAAAAATAACTACAATAATACTTCCTTTCCTCAAAAAAAAAAAAAGTCGGTGTTTCAAGTTTACGTAGACCCATTTAAAAAATTCTCCTTTTGTGAATTGTCTTACATTAAAAGAGACTTTTTTGGTGTACAGGTCTATGAATTACAGCATGTGTACAGATTTGTGCAACTACTACAGTAGAATATAGAATAGTTTCATCACCCAAGAATTTATTTGTGCAATCCCTTTGAGAGAGAAATGTGTTAGGAAGACAGGGTTAAGGATCTACCTCCTCCCCTCAAGGAGTTTACAAAGGAAGTAGACAGCTCATGACCAGTGACTCCATAGGTGCCTGAAGATATGTGCTGGAACCCTGAGCCAGTCTATGAGGAGAAGCAGTGTGTGATCTACACCCTGATAGGACAGAGGGGCGCAGGCACATCAGGTGCACTGGTGTGACTGGACTCAAAAATCCACTGTTTTTTTTTTTTTTTGTACCAGGGATTGAATTGGAGGCTATGATGGGGTTTAAAAAACCCTGGGGTAATGCAAATGCATATTTAAGTCTGAAACCTATGTCATGTTGAATTTGTTTTTCTGTTTTTTATAATAAAGCATCTGAACTGTTAATAAAATCTCTGTAAAATCCTCAAAATTACTTAAAGCCACTGTTTGCAATTATTTATTATGTTGCAACAGAAAACTAATAAAGAGTTGGTTTACTGTCGTTCTTCTTCAGAGGGAATTTTTTTTAATACTTTTTTTTTTTTTTTTAGTTGTCAGTGGTCTTTATTTTACTTATTTATATGCGGTGGTGAGAATTGAACCCAGTGCTTCACACATGCTAGGCAAGTGCTCTACCACTGAGCTGCAACCCCAGCCCCAGAGCAAATTTTTTCAACCATCTCAATCTTATTTGACATCCTGACTCTGTACTGCATTTTCTTAGCATTTACCACGGTGGTTATGTCTGATTTATTTTGTAATTAATTATGTTTTTGATTTTTTCCCTAAACTTTGACCTCTATTAGGGTAGGATACTTCCAGCCCTTCATTCCATACTTTCAGATATTAAGTGCTCAATGAACATTTGGAAATTATACTGCTTTGTTATCACAGATAGTACAAGAAAGGAAAATTATTGTCCATCTTATATATGAATATAAATGTATCGTTCTTAATTAATGTATTAGCAAATTTTTATCTAACAGTTATTTAAAAAAATTATTTCATATTGAGTTTATCTCAGGAATGAAAGATGTTAAAGATAAGAGGTCTATGGATGAATTTCTTCCCAATTACAGATTAAGGAAACAGAGGATTGCAAGTTCAAAGCCAGCCTCAGCAACTTAGTGAAGCCCTATGTAACTTAGCAAAACTCTGTCTCAAAAAAAAAAAAAATTAAATGGGCTGGGGATGTAGTTCAGTGGTAGAGCATGTGCCTACTGGAATACTATCACCAGTATCAAAGCAAAGACCAAAATAAAAACTCTACAACAATCTGTTTTAAAAGATTAAGTAAGAATTAACACCTGATCATCTCCTTAGTTGCAGAAAAAGCATTTAATAACATTCAGCCCTATAACTCTTAGAAAATTAGAAATAAATGGGAATTTCCTTAACTTGATAAATATTATGTACCAAAATCCTATTGTAAACATCATGCTTTTAGATATATTTCATTTAATTTAGAACAAAGCTAGAATGTCTGTAATTAATGATATTATTGGATATGATATTAATAATCCTTGACTAGGAGGTGACAGCCCTTTTCTCCTTAGGACAGATAGC